GGGCTGGACGGATTGACCCGATGGGTGGGAGATCGACATCCCCAGGTAGCCGTGGCCGCCAGCAATCTCGGACGCACCTTGACCGACCTCGGACGCTTTGACGAAGCGGAGGTCGTGCTGCGTCAAGCGCTGGAGATTCGCCGGGAGGTCTATGGTTCCATGCACCCACGGGTAGCAGTGGTGATCAGCCGACTGGCGACGGTGGAGAGACTACGCGGCCGGCCGGAGCAAGCCCTACCGCTCTATCAGCAGGCTCACGACATCCGACGTCGGGTCTTTGACCCAGGGCATCCCGAGATCGGCAATTCCTTGAGGCAGTTAGCCGGTTGTCTAATCGACTTGGGTCGGTTGGATCAAGCTGCCGAGGTGTTGGAAGAGGCTATCGACATCCTCGACGCTGCCGGTCGCGGACCGGATGCGGAGAAGGCTCGCAGCATGCTCCGTGGATTGGATCGATCCCGGTTATTGGGCTGAGTCGTTTTGCGAAACGGCTGACGTGAAGCCTGAATTTCCTTCGGGGTCGACCATCTGTGATCGCTCATGGAACCTCCTCTTTGGACATCAAGAATATTCCTCCAGTCGGTGCCTTCAGTCGGTGCCAGGTTGATGTTCCTCCAGTCGGTGCGAGCCGAATTCACTGGGAATTCGTTGGTGCCACGTTGATGTCCTGATCTCGTTGGTGCCACGTTGATGTCCTGATCTCGTTGGTGCCACGTTGATGTCTCGACTTGAGACCTTCGATTTACAGCCTGACATTGACCAATGTCACTGCACTGCAGAATTCACAACCGGTTCTTCGTCCTTCCTCAAATAGAGGCGTGTGCCTTTTAAACACAAACTTCTATGGAGGAGCAAAAATGAACGGCAACACCACCATCCCCTACCCATCTAGGCGGGCAAGTGAGCTGAGGTGCGCCCAAGCAATTCCGCGGTCGGAGGTGAGCCATGTCTAGGTTCCCTCGTCTCTGGACTCGACCTAACGCCGGCGTCTCCGTCATGAATC